GTGTGGTGTGTGTGTGTGTGTGTGTGTGTGTGTGTGTGTGTGTGTGTGTGTGTTGTGTGTGTGTGTGTGTAGGTAAGAAGGGCTCGGATCTGGGCGAGTATGACCCGCTGACACAGGCTGACAGCGAGGATGAGACGGAGGACGATGATCTGGTTCTGAATTATCCTCGTAACGGTCTGAACCCTGCGGTGGCTGATCTGAGGGGCGAGGAGGAGTTGGATGAGGAGGAGGAGCCAAGGGAGGGGGCGGGGCATGAGGTGGGGTCTGGGCGGAGTCAGGGCGGAGCCGCGGAGGAGAAGGCGGCGCGGGTGCGAGGGGCTATGCGATCCGCGGTGTTCCTGCTGCCGCTGTCCTGCGCCGCTCTGCTGGTGCTGCTGTGTGCGTTTCTCATTCCCTGCCCACAGGGGGCGCCGCTCCAGACGCAGTGGGAGAGAGAGCTCGGAGACACAGCGGGTGAGTGACGCTCCACCGCATAACCCCTGAAATAAACCTGCAGCACCAACATGTGCTCTTCCTCACAGGCGTGACGTCACCTCCCATTGCATTGTGGGATGTGGATGGGGACGGACTGGAGGATGTTTTGATTGGCATTACGAACTTCTCCAACGACAGTCAGCCAATGAACGCACAGAGCAAAGGTGAGCGAATCAAAGCACTGCAAATGCAAAAACTGTTCAATCCAGTGCAAGAGTTAATACGACTAAAACCCGTTCAATTATGACTATAACAACAACTGTAATGATAACTATAGTGTTAACCGTAAAACAACTACAGGTGCATCTCAATAAATTAGAATGTCGTGGAAAAGTTCATTTATTTCAGTAATTCAACTCAAATTGTGAAACTTGTGTATTAAATAAATTAAATGCACACAGACTGAAGTAGTTTAAGTCTTTGGTTCTTTTAATTGTGATGATTTTGGCTCACATTTAACAAAAACCCACCAATTCACTATCTCAACAAATTAGAATATGGTGACATGCCGATCAGCTAATCAACTCAAAACACCTGCAAAGGTTTCCTGAGCCTTCAAAATGGTCTCTCAGTTTGGTTCAGTAGGCTACACAATCATGGGGAAGACTGCTGATCTGACAGTTGTCCAGAAGACAATCATTGACACCCTTCACAAGGAGGGTAAGCCACAAACATTCATTGCCAAAGAAGCTGGCTGTTCACAGAGTGCTGTATCCAAGCATGTTAACAGAAAGTTGAGAGGAAGGAAAAAGTGTGGAAGAAAAAGAGAACCAACTAACCGAGAGAACCGCAGCCTTATGAGAATTGTCAAGCAAAATCGATTCAAGAATGTGAGTGAACTTCACAAGGAATGGACTGAGGCAGGGGTCAAGGCATCAAGAGCCACCACACACAGACGTGTCAAGGAATTTGGCTACAGTTGTCATATTCCTCTTGTTAAGCCACTCCTGAACCACAGACAACGTCAGAGGCATCTTACCTGGGCTAAGGAGAAGAAGAACTGGACTGTTGCCCAGTGGTCCAAAGTCCTCTTTTCAGATGAGAGCAAGTTTTGTATTTCATTTGGAAACCAAGGTCCTAGAGTCTGGAGGAAGGGTGGAGAAGCTCATAGCCCAAGTTGCTTGAAGTCCAGTGTTAAGTTTCCACAGTCTGTGATGATTTGGGGTGCAATGTCATCTGCTGGTGTTGGTCCATTGTGTTTTTTGAAAACCAACGTCACTGCACCCGTTTACCAAGAAATTTTGGAGCACTTCATGCTTCCTTCTGCTGACCAGCTTTTTGAAGATGCTGATTTCATTTTCCAGCAGGATTTGGCACCTGCCCACACTGCCAAAAGCACCAAAAGTTGGTTAAATGACCATGGTGTTGGTGTGCTTGACTGGCCAGCAAACTCACCAGACCTGAACCCCATAGAGAATCTATGGGGTATTGTCAAGAGGAAAATGAGAAACAAGAGACCAAAAAATGCAGATGAGCTGAAGGCCACTGTCAAAGAAACCTGGGCTTCCATACCACCTCAGCAGTGCCACAAACTGATCACCTCCATGCCACGCCGAATTGAGGCAGTAATTAAAGCAAAAGGAGCCCCTACCAAGTATTGAGTACATGTACAGTAAATGAACATACTTTCCAGAAGGCCAACAATTCACTAAAAATGTTTTTTTATTGGTCTTATGAAGTATTCTAATTTGTTGAGATTAGAGTGAATTGGTGGGTTTTTGTTAAATGTGAGCCAAAATCATCACAATTAAAAGAACCAAAGACTTAAACTACTTCAGTCTGTGTGCATTGAATTTATTTAATACACGAGTTTCACAATTTGAGTTGAATTACTGAAATAAATTAACTTTTCTACAACATTCTAATTTATTGAGATGCACCTGTATAATGGTAACTGTAACAAGAACTATAATGATAACTGAAGATAATTGCAACAAAAAATAAGTGACTATAACTGTAACGATGATTGTAAAAGTAACTGTAATGATAACTTTAAAGATATTTGTAAAAAAAATAATGATAACTGTAATGATAACTAACAATAACTAGCTATAACTGTAACAATAACTGTCACACTAAAGTGATAACTGTAACAGTAACAGTAATGATAACTGTAAAGATAATTGTAACAAAAAATAATTTAAAATAAATAACAATGAATATAATGAAAACAATAATAATAACTGTAACTGTAATGATAACTAAAAATAACTATACATGTAACAATAACAGTAACTGTAACAAGAAATAATGATAACTGTAACAATAACTAACAATGACTATAACATTAACTGTAATGTGTAACAATAACTATAACTGGTACAATAACAGTAACTAACAATAACTAGAATGATAACTAACAATAACTGTAACAATAACAGGAACTGTAACGTTAACTACAATGATAACTAACAATAACAGTAATTGTAACAATAACTAGAATGATAACTAACAATGATTATAACTGTAACAATAACAGTAACTGTAACAATAAATAATAATAACTGTAACAATAACTATAACATTAACTATAACAGTAACAATAACTATAACTGTAACAATAACAGTAACTGTAACAATAAATAATAATAACTGTAACAATAACTATAACATTAACTATAACGGTAACAATAACTATAACTGTTACAATAACAGTAACTGTAACAATAAATAATGATAGCTGTAACAATAACTATATTAATAACTAACTATAATTATAACTGTAACAATAACTATAAAGGTAATTGTAACAATGACTGCAGATGTAAAGTCCCTCCTTGCACTGCAGTAGTTCATCAGCAGAGTTTTGGCTCTGTGTGTGTGTGTGCGCATGTGTTTAATCTGTGTGTGTTTAATCTCTGAGTGTGTGTGTGTTTAATCTCTGTGTGTGTGTGTTTAGAGTTCAGCGTGTGGGCTCTCGGCGGCGGCGGAGGGCAGCTGCTCTGGAGGAAGTCCCTCAGAGAGCCGCTGATCTCTATTCAGTGTGGACTGCAGACAGGAAGTTCAGATCCACTGCACTCGTCTGCCTGCGTCCTGATCAGCTCTGGTCACATGATCGCCATCAATGCCTCCACAGGTCTCTCACACACACACTCACTCACTCAGCTGAACGCACGCGTGCATGTGTGTGTGTGCTGATGGCTGCTATGTTTCAGGATGGACGTTGTGGACGACGGCTGTAGGAGACGTGGAGTCTCACGCTGTTCTGCTGCCGGATCTACAGGGAGACGCCTTTCCAGACCTGCTGATCGCAACACTGCCGGAGGACAAGGTGACCACCGCAACACACACACACACATCTTTTTTTTTTAAATAGGAGATTCTCTGTAAAAACAGAAGCTTTATCTTGTCCTCAGGGAACTTAACCATACGGGGTTCCTCAGGGTTCTGTCTTAGGTCCTGCTCTCTTCTCTCTTTATTTTCTTCTTCTGGGCTCTGTCTTTAGGAAACATGGCGTCTCTTTTCACTGTTACGCCGATGATATGCAAATTTACTTGCCTTTGGATAAGAATACAAAGTGTGCCATTGATACTCTATCTGCATGTCTTGATGATGTCAGATCATGGCTCTCCAAACATTTTCTTTTCTTGAATACAGATAAAACCCAAGTTATTGTCTTCAGGGCCTCAGAGCATAGGGCAAGTGATCAACTCAACCTCGAGACCCTAATTTTCCTTAAATTCTCCTGAAGTTCTGAAATTTGGGAGTAGAGTTTGATAACTCCTTGAAATTTGATAAACAAATTATTGCTGTAGTAGGTTCTAGCTCCTTCCATCTTCTTTCTCTTTCTAAAACCAATCCATTTCTCTCTGAAAGTTCCCTCTGTTTTGGTATATCAAAGTCCCAATTCTCTCAGGTACAAGTAGTCCAAAATGCAGCAGCTAGATTCCTGAAGGGATGTAAAAAGTTAGATCATGGTACTCCCTTCTTGAGATCATTGCATTGGTTGCCAATTCACTATCGAATTGAGTTTAAAATCTTGCTACTTGTCTATAAGTCCTATCTTAAAACCCATCTCTTCTCATTGGCTTTTAATATGTAGCAATGTGTGGCTCTTGTATGGTTTTATTTTTGTTTACTGATTTTTCTCTCTTTGTTGTATTTTACTGTTTGTTGTGCAGCACTTTTGGTCGGCCTTGTTCCGTGCTTAAACATACTCTAGAAATAAAACTGAACTTGAACTTGAACACACACATATATAAACACACACACAGGTTTGTTTTTGTGAATTGTGGGGACATCACATAGGCGTAATGGTTTTTATACTGTACAGACCGTATATTCTATTGCCCTACACCAACCCTACCCCTAAACCTACCCCTCACAGGAGACTTTCTGCATTTTTACTTTCTCAAAAAAACTCACTCTGTATGATTTATAAGCGTTTTGAAAAATGGGGACATGGGGTAATGTCCTCATAAGTCACCTTCTCCTTGTAACACCTATGTCATACCCATGTCATTATACAAATTTGTGTCCTCATATGTCACAAAAATGCACACACACATAAACAAACATATATAAACGCACATTCACACACACACACACATAAACACACACATACATATATATAAACGCGCACACACACACACACACACACATATGTATATATATATAAACACACACACTCACACACACTCAAAGGTTGATGATCTGCCTCTGTGCTCAGGTGTCTGATCTGGCTCTGGTCCTGATCTCCGGCCGCTCAGGAGCTCTGATTGGCCGGCCGGTGAACTTTAACCTCACGGCTCAGGGTAAGCTGATTGGTCCGCTGCTGCACGAGACGCAGACGGGAGCCTATTACGTGCTGTTCGGACTGGGTGAGTGTGTGTTACAGTGTGTGTGTGTGTGTGTGTGTGTGTGTGTGTGAGTGTGTGTGTGTGTGAGTGTGTGTGTGTGTGTGTGTGTGTGTGACACAGTTTTTCCTGATGATATCTCCCAAGAATAACATGTAAAGCGTGAAAAGTAAGGGTCCTAGCACTGAGCCTTGAGGTACTCCATACTGCACTTGTGATACCTCTTCATTCACTGCTACGAATTGATGTGTGTGTGTCTGACTCTCTGTGTGTTTGTGTGTGTCAGCGTCTCTGAGCGGGTGGATTTCCTGCTCTCTCTGGTGGTGGGCTCGTGTCAGCGTCTCAGGAATCTGGATGGAGTGTCAGCGTTGAACTGCAGTCGCAGTGACTGGATTGTGCTGAGTGACTCCAGCAGACGTCTGTCTGTGCTGAGAGCCAGCGACACTCGGCCTGTCTGGAGCCTCGGCCTCGCCTCCATACGCACGTGTGTACTCACACACACACACACACACACACACACATACTTGCATTTGTGGTTTACGGGGACTCTCCATAGGCGTAATGGTTTTTATACTGTACAAACTGTATTTTCTATCGCCCTACACCAAGCTTACCCCTCACAGAAAACTACTGGCAGTTTTTGAATTTTAATAAAAGACTGTTTTGTATGTTTTTTAAGCCTTTTGTTTTACGGGGACACAGGAAGTAAACCATGTTTACGTTGTAGTACCCATGTCGTTATACACATTTGTGTCCTCATAAACCATATATACTTGTACACACACTCAGTGGCAGTTTGCCATTTTTTATTTGATTTAGTTTTTATTTTTATCTTTTCCATTTTTCATTTTAATTTTAGTTGAAGTTTTTAGTAATTTTGTTGTGCGTTTTTATTTATATTTTTTTTACATTTTTGCTGTTTTTTTATTTTCATTTAGTTTTTATTATATTTTTCATAAAATTTTTTCATTTTAGTAAAAGTTTTCTGTTGTGTGTTTTTGTAGTTTTATTAATAGTTTAAATAATTTTGTATTGATTTCCGTTTTTTTATTTTAATTTGAGTTGAAGTTTTAGTAATCCCTTTGCATGTTTTTAGTAATATTTTAAATAAATTTTTATTTTAATATTTATGTGTTCATTTTAATTTGAGTTAGTTTTAGTAATCTCGTTGCACATTTTTTTGTAATATTTTAAAGCATTTTTTTTGTATTTTCATATTTTTCCATTTCCATTTTAACAAAAATAAAAAATGAAACTGACATAAGAGTAATTTT